GTATTATGTAATTTTATTTCTGTACAGGGCCTCAGCCTATTGTACAAAATGTAATGGGTAGAAAAGTGCATATCACGTTTTAAACACAATACAACATCCATGTAAACATATGGTACTAAGTTAAGCTGAATTCATATTCATCTCGTCGCTTGAAAACTTTTAAAAAATATAGAGCTACTAGTATTTGATATATGGTGTGGCAGTTTGTGTAGCGACGAAGTAAGCCCAGACTGTCAGTATTTGCATAATTGCATAGGGTTACTGACAAAAGATCAGCCCTTAGATCATTATATAATGGACATATAAAAACAAAGTGAATTTCATTTTCTACCATGCTAAATTCGAACGTATCACTGCAAAAACTAAAAAATTATTGATCTAACTGTATCTTTTTGTGTCTGCCTAATTCTACATTATGTTTATGGCCAAAACAGCGAAAACTCGTCAGTATATATTTTAGTCTATAATTGCTTGCCAATAAATCTCCCAGGTTATAATACTACTTTGATTTTCCAAAAGTACACAGCTTGGATGATTGTGAAATTGAGGCATGCCACTATTTTTTTATTTTTTGAGTAAATATCCCTAAGAAATTTGCAGTATCTTCAACTTGTTTTTCAAACCAGACAATGCCGAAACCATATTTGAACAGGAGATTTCTATGTGGGTTTCCCAAGCAAGTCTGCCGGTCTTGTCTAATCGTTTAAGCATGATATAATATCAGGGGGGAAAATCTCTCCTCTCGGGGTTCTCCACACTTGTCAGGGGGGAATCTCGTCTTGTCTCTCTATCGCGTCCCCTTGAGGTACGGTATCGGGAAAGTCACTTATACTTTACAGTCAAATAAGACACACACAACGAAATACGTTTCAACTCTCGTCTTAGTCGATCTTTTGGAGCACTCTATAAGACACAGCGCCCTGGGGAAAAGTCCCCAAGACTCTCACAAGGCTGAACCAAGACTCGCCCAAGACTGGACTGCCTCAAGGCTCGCCCCTGGACTCTCCCGGATTCTCCAGGACTGCACTCTCTCTTCTGCGTCTATCGTGCTGTGCTCCCCAAGACCAACTCAAACTCTCTTTATTCATTTTCAAAACTCTAACCAATTACAAAGCAGTAAAAAGACTCTAGGGCGTAACCTTCAATCATAAAGCCAACCACACTAAGCACTGAATACGTCAAATCTTTTGATTAATCGTTCACTACATTAATAACTATGGAATACCAACTGTCAGAATCGCGACGGATATCTCGTAATTAGTTCCAAATCACTGAGCAAAGTTCCGTCCAAAACTTCAAATAGGCCTACACGATGACAGACATAACACAGCAATTCGCTAATAATCAACTAATTAAGTCGGTTAACAGATACGCGAAAACAAATTCATGACAATAACATGTTTTGGGGTTTCAGTAATTTTAACCAATATAAGATACAACGCTTGAAATAACCACAGCACAATGGCAGCCTTCCACATTCGTCTAACATCGCTACATTGTTTGTACAACTACATGTATTAATGCTAAGTACCGGGTAGATATCTGCAAAATGTTATCTGTACCCTCTCGATTTCCAAATTTACGTTCCCCCATATCGCTACCACAAGAAATAGTTGGCACAATGATTGCATCAAACAAATTAAATGCACTAACCAATGGCATACTACCAAGTTTCTTACAGTATGTAAATATATTTGGTTCACTGTAAATCTGTTTTTAAAGGGCGGTAATATAATATGCATACAGTGGCAGTTTAGCAGCGGTATCAATAGACTTCAATGACTACAACTCCTTTTATGAACCCATTAAAAATATAGTAAATTTTCTGAGACATCAAAAAAAAACGTGTAAAAAAAATATGTTTGCAATTTATGATTCATCGCATAGTTTCTGTGCTGAAGCAAAACTGTAGGGTAAATTGTTGGCTACAAGAAGCTCTTCGACCTATACAACTCGTGATGATAAATCTTCGGCATTTTTTAATGATATGTCCAACCCGTAGCTGTACACTATGTCCAATAACAAGGCTACACGTACTAATACAATAAGTACTACATTTGGCTGATACACTTGGAACAAAACAGTATATATGCCATC